GTAATGAGCCTGTACAGCTGTCACTGTGCTGGGGCTGCATTCTAAACCTCATGTCTAAAATGACAGGGTTCAATTTCTGTCCGTTCAGCATTATCCTCATTTCAGGGGTTAAATGTCATTGAGTAGTGAGTGCGGCTTAGAGAGGGTCACAATCTATACATCTTTTGGAAAGACATGGGTTTCAAATATACAACCTCTCATACATAGGAGGGCCATATCTCACCATGTACTGCAACGGTTTATGAAAACTTTGGTAGGATTAGATTTACCCTGTCTTTTTTGTACATTGCAGTTCTATTATGTAACATATATTTGTTTTTTAGGTAAAACATACAATGCAGAATATATGTAATTTACTGAAAACCTGGTCTTAATTTAGTGCGGTTGATCGTGAATCTGTATCAACCACAATTTTTCTTTTCCAGGAAGGAAGCACTCTTTCCTTCTGAGATGTATTAGTCAACTGTGACCGTAACCTCAGCAAATGCACATTGCTATCCATTTCAATGGTTGTTTAAAGGCACCCTCCAGACCTGTTCTTTAACTTGCTAAAGTGCTTTATGTGTGAAGATTGCTTTCTATTTTTTGCATTTTATAAAAAAATCAAAAAGCATAAATAGAAATTGTCACTTTTATAAATTAACCTTGTTACACCCCACCACCCACCCCAGCTGTCAATCAGATGACCAGTCCTGTTACTTCCTGGTTTGGTTAGCTCAGTGGAAATAAACTCTAGAGGCAGCAAAAACTCAGAGCACCTGTCTTGCAAAGATTCTCATTGAGCTGTATTGGGAAGTCTGTGATTGGACAGCCACAGAAAGTCAGGGCTGGGAAGGAAGGGGCTAGCAAAAGTGACAGACAATAGATTTATAGCTTTTGAAAGTTGTTTTTAGATATACCCCAATGAAAAATCATAATTAAATGCATTCATGCACTGTTTTTTGTGTGCGGAGTGTCTTTTTAACTCTGAATGTGGTGGCGATTTACCTTTAGAATGTTAAATATTATTAAATCTTTTTTAAAATGAAGGCCATTCCCAATCGTGGCGTCTTTGCACTAACAACTCAATACAGCATGAGCACCAAATAATCACATGACAGTACCATGTCAGACTGGACTGTGAAGGTCCGTTAATGTTTTTTGTTTTAATAAAGTAGGGAATCAGAATCAAACTTTATGTCCATTAATTCAAAGCTACTTCATGTTTGTTTTTTATAGAACAGGCTATATATCCCCTGGCGGATCCCTATTTTTTTATATAGGTACCTGTTTAATATGTGTTCAAACTATAGGCATAAATAGGATGATTTGGGGTTTGGTACAGAAGACAGTTATTCTGGGAGGTTTGCTCACTCTTGCAATCCTGTTTATATACCCAAGTGCATTGCTCTGGCTTTATTCCCTGTCTGGTTTTATTCGTTGAACAATTGATTACTCAGGAGGAAGCTAAGAAGGAATATTGTCTCCCCTTACCTTGCATAAAAAGTGGGGTTACCACCCCCTTAAATGGACAGTCTAACCACCAAAACCACTCAGATTTTTAGATGCTTTAGGTTTGTGTCCAACTGTTCAAAAACAGTTTTTGATAGAACATGGAAAGAGTTCGAGTAGTTCGCCAACACCATAACCAGTGCAACAGATTATAGTGATTATGGGGATAGTGTACTTTAAGCACCATAGGCACTACACCCTGCTGTAGTGGTTATGGTGCCAGGAGTGCCCTGACTTCCTCCATGTTAAGTAGTCAAAGCATTTGTAAACAGTTTGACAACTTACCTGGGGCTCCAGTAGCAGCCACAAACTCTGTGCATTGAGCTAGCCAAGTGGCGATGAGCTTACGCCATTAGCTGGGAATGCACAGCTGATCCTCCCAGTCAATGAACCAGTCCTGCACTGCAGGGTCTACTAAAGTGAAACTAATGGAAACATCTTGCAGGAACGTCTGGCTTCATAGGAGATTGTGACCGTCTTCCTGCAGGCCCCAGGTAAGTTGTCAAACCGACAACAATTCAACTACTTATCCTGGGAGGGCACCAAGACACTCCTGGCATAGTAACCACGAGAGGGGGCTGTAGTGGTTCAAGTGTTTGGAGTGTTTCTTTAAAGACTGATTAAAGAGTTATTGTTGACAAGGTGTGGACTAATTTGGATAGTATGGATAAATAGCTTGCCCTATATCATGAACACCACCAGGAGTCAACTTAAATGTTTCTGCTCAACTTTTGCAATTACATGTTAGAAATAGCCACATGTTTATTCTAACAAAACCAGTGGCGTATTTTGGTTTTGTGTTGCCTTAGCATTACACCCCCCCACCCTAAACAACCTAAATTTCTCTTCATTTTTAAAACCAACACACTTTAGCCTGACAGACACACTCCCTCACTGATGCATACACTGACATACACTCACTGGCAGATACACAGTCATTGGCACACACACTGTTTAACCAACACACACACTCACTGACATATGTACACATTCACAGACATACTCACTCGTTCACAGTTACACTCACTTAAAGTTACACACACATTTACCGATAAAACATTTAATTACCCTTATCAGAATGTAGATAAAGACTGCTCTTAGTCTTCATAAAAACTATTTCAAACACCAATATCCACAAAACACGGTTATACTAAAAGACTGAATGGGAATTTGGGTAAGTAGTGCACTTACAAACACATATTGATAGTAGGCAAAAACATACATGATTATTTTTTTTTTTCCTAATTTTCCCACTAGATTTACCATATATGATATCAATTTCCCAAATCTGAAATTTCTTCATGTGATCCCCCTCTGTACATATTATTAATGATCTTTTTCGTCCCATGACCTTTTTATGTTTTTTTACCTTTTTTATGATCCAGCTGTAAATGATAAGGGTAATGTAGTTTTAATGTTTATTTTTCACATGTTCTTGTCACTTTAACAACCACTGAACTGTATATGAACAAAGTCCCTCCATGATATAATGGACGTTAATGAATAGAACGCAGAAATCCATAGTATGCCGTGGAACGCAAGATCAAACGGAAATTACGTCGCCCTAGGAAGTTGAAACGCAAGATGTGACGGAAATAGAACGGATGCGCGAAATTGATGTAGACTGCAGGAAGCTTTTGTGAATTTCAGGAGGGATTTGCCATTTATAAATTGAGGCTTGGTTATTAAAACAGAGAGACAGGTGATGTGGTTTAAATCGAGACTTACCATTTCAGTTTGTACACAGATGGGAGCTACACAGATCTTGATTTTTTTTTTCATCCTTGAAGAAGTCCAAAGTGTGGACGAAACACATAGGGCAGAATTTTATTCTTTTCTTTTTGTGTTATATGTTATGATATTGATTTATATATATTTATATTGTATGCTGCTTTTTCTCAACATTTCACCTCTGGATATACTTATAGATGTGAGCTTCAAGTGGAGTTTGGTGATAAGCTGTCATTAAGTTTAATCTTGTGCATATTAATAAATAGAGTAGATCTTTACATATTAAATCCTTCTATGTGTCCCCTTTTTTATATTTCTTCATATGTGGTGCTGCTATTTGGATGCCTAAGAAGAGTGAAGATATCTATGGTGTACGATTTTGCCTACTATCAATATGTGTTTGTGAGTGCAATACTTACCTAAATTCCATTCAGTCTTTTAGTAAACAGTGTTACACAATTTGAGTTTTTTTTACTTTTGTAGATATTGGTGTTTTATATATTTATTTGAGCCACAAACACCTCCTTTTTGACCACATGTCATCCACCGACATCATGTCTAACAAAAGTAAAGCATAACATGTATGTTAAATGGGAAGGTTTCTCAAAAGACATGTTTTTGAAACAACCAATGTATAGATTGTATTGTATTCATTTACATAGGTTCATATTACTGTGTGTGTTTGAATCTTTTGCCAGTTCTAATTTATAGGGACCTTTATTTAGATTTTTTTTTTTTTTTTATCGAAATAAGAAGCTTTACTGTAGATTTCATTCAATCCATCATCACTGCGGTATTCGAAATAATAGTATACAGCATGCTCACAGAGACTGGTAAGAGGGATACATGTGCAGGATATTCATACACCCACCTTCTGTTCTTAAAGGACCACTATAGTGCCCTGAGGGTGAAGTGGTCTGGGTGCCTAGAGTGGTCCTTTAATTCACATGGGATGTAAAAGGAGGAAGGACCATTTGTCATATTGGTCCCCTAATACCCTGGTTAGTAGGGGATTGGGACGAGGGGGTTGGTGGAACCCCAGCAAGTTATATTCGGCTTGCCATGATTGTACATGGTGTGGGGGAGGAGGTTGTCTTCTTCATGCTGATTGACTGCTCTATGATCCAAGGGCTATCTGAGTTGCATTTTTTTTTTTTCAGTTGGCTCAGCCACTTAAGTATATGTAAATATACATAATAACAAATCAGCCTTCAGGATTCTTTATCAAAATGGACTGTCCGACTCATTTAACAAATTAGCTCCAAATGCAAATTAAGCAGGGGGAGCCATAGTGGCACAGGGTCTATAGGGACAGATTTATTATTCTTGAACTGTTCTAAATATAGCCTTTAAGAATTGAAGTTTGTACATTTTTTACCTATACTCTTATTACTGAGTAGGTAGTATGGGCTAACTTTAAGCAACATTATAGTACTTTTTTCGAAACCGATTTCCATTAAAAAGTTGTAAGTGTATAAACTCCTCAGTGTGCTATTCTAAAATAGTAATATTCTTAAATAATTAGTGGACCTTTTAAATATTGCATAGAAAAAAATGAAATAATTGATGGCTCCTGTTTGAGGTTGTATGGATCGGTTTCATGGGAAGACATATATCCATGGTTAAGTTCATACTTAAAATTTGTGACACATTTTTTCTAGGATTTAGATATAGGATCTATGAGGTATTACTGTCCCTTTAATTTAAAAACATTTTAGATTCAAATGAATGAAATAAAATGTTGCTGGGAATTGAGATCTTCTAATCCTAGTGTGTGTCTAGTACTCAATTGTGACAGCTTTGGTCTTTAAATATTCATTCAAGGCTTCCTGCCCTGTAAGAGAAATGGAAAGGGGTCAGGGCACATATATTCACTTTAGTGACATGTATCTGAGACAAAAATGCAAAGACCCTACACATGACAGTGCTGCTTTAAGGTACAATGTATGCACGTAATAAATTACACTTTATTCATCTTAAAACCATTTGTCATTTTTTCCTAAAATAGCTTGCGCCCCCTAGTGCAAACTACTAAACATTTTGAATAAATACAGACAGTGGGGAATTCAAACTCACAGTACATGTTTTCAGAATGCAGAACTACATTTTTTATGTTGTTGCAAAACATTTTTTCTATTATCAGCATTTCAAAAGGAGATAAAGCATCCTATACCTTTTCAGAAACATGCACATTCTGTGCCAATCACGAGGGGTAATGTCAGGATCTTATCCTGACGAACAAGACTTTTTGTTCCGTTTTTTTTTTTCTGTTCCTTTAAAACCAAGTTACTGCACTGATTATGTTTGACCACTAGTGGTCTCCCTTGCCTCTAGCTCTAAAAACTTACCTTGTAATCCTCACCTGCCTGGACTAATTGAGCAACCTACAAACAGCTACACCCAACTCACCACATGGCCTTTACTTTGACGTTTATGTTCATCCTGAAACACTTCAGATCCTGGCTCCTGTGAACTTTGCTTTAATCTTACTTACTTCCAAACCTGCGCAATACCAACCTGAACTACTCCTCAATCCTTCCTGCTTACTTCCAACCCTGCTCAATACCAGCCTGAACTACGCTTTATCTTACCCGCCTGATTTCTACCAGCCTGATCCATACAACTTCTCTGCTCCATACCAACCTGGACTCTGTCTCAAAGTAATATTATATGGTGTTATTTTCCTGCTTGATCAATACTCCTAATTGGGGGTTGATTAACCAAATTTCTCCTTTTCCTGTAATCCTGTAACCTATTTGTTCTGTTTTATTTGTCCTTCTATTTTAACCTATACTTTGATCTATAGGCTTTCTTATTATTTACTTTCATTCCTGTTTATAATCTATTTAGTTCATATTGCCTAAGCCCCTTTATTTCTGTTTTTTCTCTCTGTCTCTTTCCTATAATTTCTAATATAGGATATCCTGTTCATACTATGTCTAAGAACACAAAGTACCTGTAGTCAACCCTGGCATAAAAGTCTCCTCTCTGACCTGCTCAAGATCATGACAGGTAATCAGGAAGGCTGCTTTTAGCCTAAGTGAACAGCTCGAAAAACTAGCAAAGGTTGTGAGTGTCTATAGAGAGGAATGCTCCATTTTAGATTGAATGTGCCGAATTCCTCCTTTACATTACATACGAAAGTCTCTCCTTAGGTCACCTTGAGTGACTGTAACTGACCAAATACCTTGGCATGTAATGGGCATATACATGTTTATATGGCAAATATAAAAACGCAAAAATGTATGTAACTTGGAGCTCTGAAATATTGTTTTATAAGACTGTGTTCAAACTGATGTACTGAGTGAGAGATCCATTTAAATCATGTCTTCAAAAAGGTTTTTTTTTGTTGTTTGCTTTTATTCACCTACACTTGTCATATCCCATAATCTCAATGAAATTAGGAAAAGAAAAACTAAAAATAGGTTACATAAGCCCCAAAAGGGTGGGAATTGCATGCCATTCAATTTGTATTAAAGGAACACAATAGGGTCAGAAACACAAACATGTATTCCTGACACTATAGTGTTAAAATAACCAGCTATCTTGCTTCGCTGGCCCAATCTTGCCACTTAAATATAGTGAAATCTTACCTTTATTCCAGTCGGCTGGTATGGGCTTTGCCCCTGACCTGCCTCCTTGCCTGACATTATCAGAAGTGATGATCTCAGCCAATCACATTGCTTTCCCATAGGAAAGCACTGGATTGCCTGAGATTGTCAATTCTGATGATCTCAGCAAAGGAGGTGGGCCGGTGGCGGAGCCAACACCACCCTGGCCAATCAGCATCTCCTCATAGAGATGCAATGCATCAATGCATTTCTATGAGAAAAGTTCACTGTCTGCATGCAGAAGTAGGAGACACTGAATGTCAGTCACACTGTGCAGTACTGTCCCAGGAAGCACCTCTAGTGGCCATCTGTGGCATGGCCTCAGGAGGTGTCCCTACGCTGTAATGTAAAAACGTCCTTTTCTCTGAAAAGGCAGTGCTTACAGCAAAATGCCTGCAGAGACTGACTATACTCAACAGAACAACTACATTAACCTGTTCTGGTGACTATAGTGTCCCTTTAACTCTAATTTGGAAGAGGTTAGGGCCGTGACAGGGGGCATGCCAATGTCCTTTACAGAAACAAGAGGGTGTATTATGACGTTTTGCGGGCTTTATTGCATGCACACTGTGACTGCTCAGAGGGCATGTGATATACCATCCCAAACACGCCCAGTGGGAGTAGCAAGTTACTTAACAACATGGATTCTTACCCAAGTCCTTTCCAAATCCAGACTGCTTGAAGCCCCCGAATGGAGACGCCACATCTGTCTTATTGTACGTATTCACAAAAACTGTCCCTGCCTGCAGCTTTTCACTCACGTACAAAGCTTTGCTGATATCCTTTGTGAACACGCCTGATGCCAGGCCGAACTCTGTGTCGTTTGCCCGCTTCAGTACGCCATCAACATCACTAAAACAGAAATATTCACTACCTTATTCACATAAACCAGTGAACATCAACACACACAGGGCAACTATAATCAACAGCATTTCCCAATCTTTAGTCATTGTGGTGATCTGCATTGCAAGTTCTATGAAGTTCTCTGGTTTGGAGCTAAATCTTCATATCTATGTCATTTTCATTACTCCACCATTGTGCAGTTTGATTGGGAAATGTAGACATGGTGAATTCACAAACACATCCTAGAGATCTATGACTTGTGCTGAAAAATGTGGCTGATAGTCGGCCATTCAAACATATTCAGGAAAATGATTTGGGCCAAGCAGTATACTGTAAAATATGTACAGAATATAAATATTATACAGTACAGCGATAGGTACATTTTTCTGCAATATATTTTATCCATATAGGTACATTTTCTGCAATATATATTTTATCCATATATATATATATATATATATATATACTATATAGAGATTTTTGTGTACTGCTTCTCCTCCCCTCTACCTCCCTCTATTGGTCACTTCTCACTTGATCTGTGAATAAAATCAACATTTAGTGGCTGCCCCCTAACCATCAGTTCTCTTTTTTCCCATTAATCATCTCTTTTTTTTGAAGTTACAGATAGAACTCCCAATCACATATCGACTGAATATTGCTCATCCATTGTGTGAGTTATTTATTCGGTTATAAGTCCATATCGTATAATAAGGTAAGAGTTACGGAATTCGGATGACCCACCTAAATTGTGACAAAGTGCAAAGCAGGCACACGTCTAATATTATTGTACTATATTTTTTTTCTTTGTGTATAAAATAACAGGTACACTTTAAGGTCAGTCATCACTGCTTCCGCGAGTTCAGATGATTATATGTCTCTCAATAAATATAAAATGTTTATTAAAGGACAACTAAGTTCAATGAAGTTGTCTGGATGCAGCGGTCTCATATATTCAAAGGATTACTCCAACCATGATGACCACTTCAGTGATTTAAAGTGGGCATGGTGATATGGGTCAGTATGTGCAGTGAGCTTGCAGAGTTAATTTTAATTGCGTGTTGAGGGCTAGTTGCACCTCCAGCACATGTGCCTTAATGTCTCCCAATGCCAATGCGGGTATATTTTACTAGTCTTCTGTCAATCTATCTTATGTCATTTGAGCCCAGTGCTCAAAGAGAAGCCTTCCCCTCCCCTTGCTGGATCAGTTTGTGTGCATATGCTCTGAGCCGGCAAAATAGTCCAATCACAGGCTTCTCTAAGTGCTGGATTCCAGGTAAGTAAAAACGTTATTTTGCAGGTTATTCTGCAAACTGAGTGCGTGCAACCCTTTGACCTTACAAGTTAAAATTTTGCCATTTTGAAGAAAAGGTTATGTTTACCTTAAAGGGTTAATCAGGCCTCTAGTGGCTGTCATACGGAGTACTAATGCGCATGTGCATCAACATTGGATTGGCCACTGGTACAGGTACCTATGCCTCCTTGATGACTGGCAAACTGAGGGGAGGCAAAAATACTCTAGATACGGAGAGGTACACTATAGCATTAGGAATATAGGTTTGTATTCCTAGTGATATAATGTTTCTTTAAAGAATGGGCTCGTTTTAATTCCAGGCAATGGTTCATTAATGACAGAGTTTCTCTTACCCATCATTAAACTTGGATATTATCATAACGGGCCCAAAGGACTCCTCCTTTGCTATGTACATCTCATCCATGACATCAGTGAAAATGGTTGGCTCAAAGAAATATCCTGTAAAATAATACACAGCTTTATTGTTTTTGTAACGCAAATTATTAATCAGGTCATTAAACCTATCAACTACCACCTCCATATCGCTTATATACGTTACGTCTACTGGAAGGTAATTTTAAGTATCCACAGCCCTTTCTATATCACTGTGCTGTCCTTTACTGCCCCCTATTGGAAGGAGTCAAGTTATCTTCTACCCCCTCTTTATAACTGTTAACCTTTACTGCTTCCACTGGAAGTCTATTCCATGTATCTACTGCCCTTTGTATAGACTTCCACTGTAGGGATATTCCAGGCACCTGCTATCCTTTCTACATCACTGTTAGAAAACAATAAATTGCATAAACTTAGATATAAGCCTCTTCAGTTTAACACTGGTCCACTTCCAGCTCTTAGGTAACTATTTTGTGGCACCACAGGGCTGGAAAGGTTCACATCAGATAGCGATAGTTAAATAATTCAAAGGGCATGCAGTAACCTAAACTGGATCACAATGTTGGCTTGAAAGGTACTTATGGCAAATATGCACTGCATATTAAGCTTGTCGTGTAGGAAAGTCGGTTTAGATAGCTATACGTAAATGTTTATAGTGATCAATTCATTAAACAATGTGTTCTCTATTAAAAGCTAGAAATGATCAATTCATTATTAATGGAATTTAAATTAGAATAATGAACTTGGCTGAACTCCTTCTGGATGTGGCTGAACTCACGGACTTGGCAGTTGAATTTGGCAGAAATGATCAGAACCTTGAACCAATATGACTTCACTTTTACATCAGAGAGTTTACTAAGAACCAGCAACTGCTGAGTTTAGAGCATTCATTTCTGTAGGCACTATATGAAAACCATCCTCTGCAGGGCCAGATTAAGAGCCCAGTGGGCCTGGTGCTGACAATTCTGACGGGCCTAATTACAGAATCATATCGACCAAAAACAGTAAAACACTCATAAGCATCATGTATCTGATGGAGATGGTGCTGGAGAGAAAGAAAACAGCAGCTATAAGAAAACACATACCCTAGGCTAATCTCTCACTAATTTATGTTTTCAGCTTTCAAGTAAATCCATAACCCCTAACAGCAGTGTCCAGTCAAGCAGGAAGTCAATGGGCATGGTAAAAGGGTGTGCCACAGACACAAATCACGTAACCTGCCAAAAGGGGCGAACATGCCCAAAAAGAGGACATTTCTGCTCAAAGAATTAGAAGGCCAGCCTGGTATGAATGCATGTCAGACTGCCTGCCAATCATGCAGCTGGCCAACTAAGGGCACACTATGCAGACAGCACCCTGAGCTTGGTATAAATGCATCTAATTATGCGCTCACTCAACGCTTTCTAAGGACTGTCCCCTAGCACTCGCTGGTCCACTTGTCTCCTTACCTTCTTACTAGCAGGCAGAAGATCCTGGTATATGGTCTGGGACAGAGTAAAGCTATATGTAGTGAATGTAGAAGAAAGGGAACATGCCACAGTGTTAGAGAGACCAAAGTCAGCATTACCTTAAAGGATCACTATAGGGTCAGGAACACAAACATGAATTCATGACCCTATAGTATTAACACCACCATCTAGCCCCCCCTGGACCCCTCATGCCTCCATAAATATAGCAAAATCTATAATCAAGCCTGAAGCTGTAACTTGGCATGCTGTTAGACTCATAAAAACAAGCAGTCTGCTGACATCATTAGAAGTGGTGGCCTGATCCAATCACAGTGCTTCCCTATAGGATTGGCTGAGACTGACAAAGAGGCAGATCAGGGTCAGAGCCAGTATGATTCAAACACAGCCCTGGCCAATCAGCATCTCCTTATATAGATGAATTTCATTAATGAATCTCTATGAGGAAAGTTCAGTGTCTGCATGCAGAGGGAGGAGACACTGAATGTTTGGATGCATTTTAGGCAGCCATGACCCAGGAAGGATCTCTAACAGTCATCTAAGGAGTGGCCAGTGAAGTTATCACTAGGATGTAATGTAAAGACTGCATTTTCTCTGAAAAGACAGTGTTTACAGCAAAAAGCTTGACTGTAATGATTCTACTCACCAGAACAAATTCAATAAGCTGTAGTTGTTCTGGTGACTATAGTGTCCCTTTAACTATATTCATTGTCAGCCAGTCCACACAAGTTTTGTTTCCATACATCCCACTTAAGTTTCCATACTTAAGTAAGAGTATGTGAAAAGTAGTTAGAGTTGCCACCTTTCTTGGAAAAACATACCGGCCTTACTAATTTGCATAATTAAATATGTATGGGTGACATCACATGATGTAAATCACAAGGAGTGATATAAGAGAAAATGCTGTAAAATCACCAAAAAACTACTTAGTTTGATTCTGCTGTATAGATGGATTCCTCCCAGTGCCCCCATGTCTCCCAGTGCCCTCATGACTCAGTGCCCCCATGTGTCGATTACTCCAGGTCTCAGTGTTCCTATGTATCAGTGTCTCAGTGACCCATGTCTCCCAGTGTCCCTTAGTGTCTGCCATACTATCTCCCAGTGTCCCTTAGTGTCTGCCATAACGTCTCCCAGTGTCCCTTATTGTCTGCCATAATGTCTCCCAGTGTCCCTTAGTGTCTCAGTATATGTCTCCTTGCAGCCTTTCCCCCCATCCCTCACTTCCCTGAGCTGTAGGCTGTCTCTGCAGGGTGGGAGTTGCTGTCTGGACTCTCTGTAGCTGCACCCCTGCAGAGCAGTGAGTATAGATAGGGGACGGATATGCTGGAACTTCCTATCCCTGCCTGTCTCCACACACAGCGACCCCTACTGGCCAGTGCTGGTATTGCAGAGTAATCTCTTGTTTATACTGATAAAAATACCAGCATTTGTATTGCCAGTATAACTGCAATATTGGCACCGCCAGGCAGCCCCAAATACTGGCTGTGCCAATAAAATAAAAGCCAGGTGGAATCCCTAAGAGTAGTGTGAAAAAAAAAAATGTAAAAAAAATTTTTTTTTTTTTTTTTACATCAATGGGCCTATTCCATGGGCCTGGGCCTGGGCCTGGAGCTGCAGCTCCATCAGCCCCTATGTTAATCCGGCCCTGATCCTCTGTATTATTACTAGTTGGTATAAAGAATCAGAATATCCGGCATAAATTTACAATTGGCAAACAAATACATAGGTAAACTATGAAAAACAAACTCATAAAGCAACAAGTTGTGGCAACATTCTTGCGCAAACAGATTTAATTTAAATCAAACGTACAGTACTGTGATGGCATTCACTCCATATATAATGGAAAAGAATGACTCCTTGTGGTGACTGTGGAAACTGGAGTTTGTGGAACAGGACACAAACTCTGATAAAGTGAATTCTTGTATCAAGCTGTGGCTGATTGTATAGGTTGTCCTTAACTACCCTGTGACCCTCTTTTCTTGGTTAATGCTGCATAAAAAAAAGTCCTAGGCAGCCAGCTGTATTTCTTTTTTGGCATAGTGATAAAGAGACAGAGACAATATGATATGTAAATCTCAGATTATAAAACCGGTTTATCAAGCACGCAGTAAAGCAAATTGTAACTTTATACCGTCTAACTAAACAGCAGGTGTGATTATATGATTAGAACTGCCTAAAAGTTGTGTTTACGTAAAATTTATTTTTGTAAAGTTTCGAGAATATTTCATGAAATTAAAATAACTTAATATATACAGTATCCCATTGCTCTCCAAAACAAGTGAATATGGTTTTTAAAGCTTCTATTTTATTAAGGTGATACTTGTCTCCACGGACTCCTAATCACTCTCTCTCTCGCTCATGTGGATCAATGCACACCCTTTGAAGTGACTTCATAAGTAGAAACCTGAAGAAGAAACTTGATTTATATGTATCTTACAAGCACATATAGAATCCATATAGAATCTATGCTGAATCAGGTAAGCACCTAAGAACCAAACTATCAAAGAGAAGAAGTGTCTCTGAAATAGACACACTATACACCTGGCTCAGAATTCAAGCTCCATGCACACCTTTTCTTGGACATTCTTTTCTGTAAAGCAAAACTGATAAACTGATAATTTCCTACCCAGAATAATAAACTAATATTCTCAGTTTCAGATACTTACCTGGTCTCTGGACCTGCTGCCCCCCATATACCAGTGTGGCCCCCTCTTTTACTCCTCTCTTGCAGTATTCAAGCAGTTTGTCCAAGTGAGCTTTGTGGTTTTGAGGTCCATGGTCTGTAGACCTGTCCAAGGGGTCACCAATCTTCATTTTCTTCATTTCTCCCACCTGCCAAACAGAATATTAAATATTATGTTCATGTTCTGGCAGCCGTGCTACAGTCACACCAAAGCCAATGTGCTGTTGGATCTTGGTACTGACCAATTAAAAAAGAAAAAACTAGGTTTCTGCTTTGCAAGAATTAATCGACTGCTGGTCTGTAGGAGGATGCTGATAAATTTACTATAGTGCAATTTTCATTATATAGAAGTAAAGAGATATTTAATGGATTAATATTATGCATAGCCTTTGACAGGCAGGCTTCTAGTAGCTATCATATATTTTTACACTTTAACACTTATAGTGCAAAACCAGCTCTATAATATTTAAAGGACCACTCTAGGCACCCAGACCACTTCAGCTTAATGAAGTGGTCTGGGTGCCAGGTCCAGCTAGGGTTAACCCATTTTTTCATAAACATAGCAGTTTCAGAGAAACTGCTATGTTTATGAATGGGTTAAGCCTTCCCCTATTTCCTCTAGCGGCTGTCTCATTGACAGCCGCTAGAGGCGCTTGCGTGCTTCTCACTGTGATTTTCACAGTGAGAGCACGCCAGCGTCCATAGGAAAGCATTATGAATTCTTTCCTATGTGACCGGCTGAATGCGCGCGCAGCTCTTGCCGCGCGTGCGCATTCAGCCGACGGGGAGGAGAAGAGGAGGATCGGAGGAGGAGAGCTCCCCGCCCAGCGCTGAAAAAAAGGTAAGTTTTTACCCCTTTCCAGAGCCGGGCAGGAGGGGGACCCTGAGGGTGGAAGCACCCTCAGGGCACTATAGTGCCAGGAAAACGAGTATGTTTTCCTGGCACTATAGTGGTCCTTTAACATTTGCAGCACAGGTCCAACCTAGGCACCTAAAAATGGCCATTAAACATTAGAACGATTTGCAGATGTGAAAAAGGGGCAAGTGAAGATTTTAATTGTTTTCATTTTATATGGAAAATTGCTGACAAATGTCTGTTCTACAACAGTGCAGACAAACTTAAGGGCTGTTAAGGGCTACAGATGAGTATTTACTTAAAGGGACACTATAGTCACCTAAACAACTTTACCTTAATGAAGCAGTTTTAGTGTAGAGATCGTACCTCTCAGGTTTCAATGCTCTATTCACTACCATTTAGGAGTTACATCACTTTGTTTCTGTTTATGTAGCCCTTGCCACACCTCCTCTGGCTCTGATTGACACAGCCTGCATACAAAAACTGGTTTCACTTTCAATCAGATGTAATTTACCTTAAACAACTTTATCTCTTGCTCTGTAAATTGAACTTTAATCACATACTTGCAGGGTCTAGCAAGCTATTAACATAGCAGGGGATAAGAACATCTTAATTAAACAGAACTTGCAATAAAGGAAGGATAAACATTAGATGACTCTTTACAGGAAATGTTTATGAAGGCTGTGTAAGGGAGGAGTCACTAGGGTTCATAAACAAAGTGATGTAACTCCTAAATGGCAGATAATTGAGCAGTGAGACTGCAGGGGCATGGTCTATACACCAAAACTGCTTCATTAAGCTAAAGTTGTTTTGGTAAATATAGTGTCCCTTTAATATGGAATAACCAGTTGATTGTCTTTATTGCTAAGCAGCATGCTAAAAGCCTGGATTTGTTTGAGGCCCACTAAATCTGGGTTTTGAAAAACATTGCAAAGGAGGCAGCCATTGAAAAGGTTTGCTCTAGATTTCATAAAGCCTAGTCATTCTGAGATAGACAGGTCACTTACCACTCTCTGCAGAAACTCATCGTGGATGGATTGTTCTAGAAATAGTCGTCCAGCCGCTATGCAGTTCTCTCCTTTGTTAAAGAATACAGCACTCATTCCCTGTGATAAAAACAAGCGTTCGAAAGAGATAGATTGGGAAGAAGATACAAAAAAATAGAACATAAAAAATTCAGATTATAAAAAGTTTTAACATTTGTTTTATTTTTTATTTAATTGTGCTATAAAATATATTTTCAGGTATAGGATTTGCTGCAACTAGAAATCCAATACCTGGAACTTATCTGGGCTTTCCAAAAATGTTCTTAGTTTTGGCTGTTAATCTGCTACATTTCACCAAGAATTTCCCCCATATTCCAAAAGGCTATTAAAATGTGCTATTATCTGTACTTTGGCCTATAGTGAGCTAATGATACTTTTTATTTATTATAGTACCACTTTTATACAGTTTTCTTTTCCAGCTTCTCTGTATGTAGATTTATATATGTATGTATATAGTTTATATTTACCTCGGAGTCTGAATGCAGTTTGGTTTTGACTGTACCCTCAGACCCACATGCTAGCCTAAAGGAATGGTACTCCATTGACAGCTGGATTGCCAAGGTACAACTTCACACAATCTATATATGATATCTGTTGTGTGTTTGACTTTTCCTGAATTACATTGGCCACAGGAATCATTGTCAATCTTTCTCAGCTGAAACTGTTGCCAGTGGGGCCATAGATAAATGAGGACCTTGAGAATTTCCAGAATCCAAGGGTTCCCATTATAGAAATGGCCTAGCTGGGCCATCTAATTGACAAGCTGAAAAATGTTCCACAGAAATGAGCAGTTCTTATAGAAATGGTAGTATAACATGTAGACACTAAAAGGGACAGCGTCACTTTCTAGGGTTTTTCATATATGTTTAACTATCCCTATATTTAACAATTGTGTGTTTTGTGAGGTATGGAAAATAATATGATTTTAGCTCTATCCTGCAACTGAGCGCCTCCATCTTGGGTCTAGATTGTTTGTGATTATTTCTATGCATAGTATGCCCTGGTTGTGCCAGGAGTGATCTGGTTTATGATGCCAATAGCTACATTTTCCTATACTGTATATTTAAACCAAAGTGAAGAATCACATGAAAATGTTAAACATGACTTATAGATGGTTTTCAATGTTTTTTTCTATTGTTCCGGAGAAGTGATAGTTTGTGAGCTCACCATGCGGACGGCTTTGTCCAAGTCACAGTCCTTGAAGATGATGAGAGGAGATTTCCCACCCAGTTCCAGGGACACTTTCTTCACATTGCTCTGAGCACAGCTGGATGTTATAATAATAATAATAATAATTGTTATGAAGCATTATTCCCCCCAAGGGAGCTCAAATGACATAAATGGATTCTATAATCCAACATACAGGGTTATTCACTAAACTCTGAATGGCTTCGCACCGAACGGGTCTGAATCTGGCTGCATTTGGGTACTGCAAAATCATAACATTATGGATGGAATTCATTACTGTCCAGATTTTTTAAATCAAGCACCGAACTTCCGGAAAGATGAAATCCTGAGTGAATGAATTCATTAGGCTTTAACTCCAGACCTGGATTTAAAAAAAAAAAAAAAAAAAAATCAGAACGATTTCCCTGTTTGCAGCACTAGCAGCCAAAAGGGGAAAAGTTAAAAACCCTCGGCGGTGATTGGGTTAATTATGTGGCCCTGGCCAGCACTTGATAGCCAGCCACCTCATTAATAAAGTTAAATAAATAAATAAAAATCCCATGGGTCAATAAGAATCCCATAAAACTATAATGGAGGTGGGCATCGGGTGGCTGCTACTTTAAGTATTCATGGGGGAAAACCTATTGCCCCCTCCTGGCCACCACCCGTATGTTGGGCAGGGACTCTAACATTAACAAAGGGAGGGACTTATTGTCCCCTTCCCTGGCGCATGGGTGGACTTCATACTAATACTAAACAGGAATGAGGGGACCTAGTGTTAAAGTGATAAAGTAAATTGGTTCATATGCAGATCTTTTGAACACGTCTGAACAAATTTTACAAAATCGAATTGCTGTTGCCAGTGCGGTCAGAGTTTGGTCATTTTGGACAAAATCCGGAGTTTAGTGAATAACCTTGTTAATGTTTTATTTTTTTAAATTCTTTATTTTTCTTTGTGCAAGGAATGACAAAACATTTTTCAATGCCACAACGGCAATATTAAAAGATATAAACACAGTAGTTGTACATTCATGGCATGAGAGTATCGGCACATTTTTAAATGTTATGTTATAAACAGGCTATTCTGGTAGCGATGCCTATCTAGGTAGACTGTTATATAAGAAACATTGGACTATGCCGTAGTTTAGGCACACATTTAGTAGTTAAATTGTGAGGTCGTAGCAGAGATTACAGCGTAAGGTAACAGTAGTATACATGCTAACAAACTAGGCTCAGGCTAAAACAGAGCTATTAAACAGGTAATCATCCTAACCTGGTGATATCCAACTATGCGATGCTTGTTTCAAGAGTGAGTAAGTCCATCGGCTAGGAGTGTAAGCTTAGACAGATATGTTAGATGTGTTGTTCGAGTAAACTAACTTGTTGGGTGTATTGAGTCCTACCTTTAAGATGAGCTAGGTGAGGCTATGTAAGATTAACAAGCTGAGCTATAACCAGGCTAAGCTACAGGTCATATTAAAACATGGGTATAAGTACTAGCGTAAATGCTTCATCTGGTTGGCTTACGAGAGTCTCATAGCGTGGAGCTAGCTGCCTCAAAGCTCAGTGTCTCGCAGTGCTCAGATAGATGCAGCTTGATGGCACCATTCAGCAGTCAGCCGATTCCTGTGTTCATCCTCTGCATGGCTCGATCTGGGGGCTTGACGGGTGAGCCAAAGGCAATGGCAGAGTTGGTGCCACTGTAGAGTTCCCCCCCTCCTTCGTCTCTGAGGGGCTCTCTGCATATGTCTTTCGCTGGCAGGAGGCTGGACCTCGTGAATCTTCTCTTATGGGGTTCCTTTTTGTTGGTCTGAGGTTTCCGGAGCCGCTGTGTGGTGAGTGGGTCAGGTGGGCTTGGTGGTTTTGCTTTGGTGTATGTGAGGCCGTGTGTCAGCGTCTGAGGGACCTGTATCCATTTCCCGCCACCTTGCCTCCCGACTCTGTCTCTGTCTGGAGGTTGCCCCGGGAGCTCGTGGTGAGTATCTGCACAGGTGTCGTCGTGTAGCCGGCCGGATTCATGCCGCCACTGTTCTCATGGCGAGGTGGAAGGACTGGCCCTTCATGCGGAGCCTTGTCCATAGGCTGTTACATAGCCGGGCAAAGAACTCCTGGGTGTGCTTGGGTGGCTGAGCGAGAGTGCTTTTTGGCGTCGGACGTGCCTGTGCCACCATCTTGATTGAGTTTCTATTGTCCCGTTCGATTGTAGGTTTGGTCGCTTGTTTAGTCTACTTTGCGGGGGTAATCGTCCCCAGCGAGGACCGGGATATCCCCCGCCGGTCCAGAGGGGGGGTATCAGGGCAGTAGTCAATGCTCGCTTGTGAGCAGGTCTCACCCAGGCCTCGGACTCCGCTCCAATGTAGGCCGCGTGGTCGGTCCATGTGCCCGTAGTGTGCAGTGGTACATGACGGGTATCGTTATGCTCCCTGTGCGGTTCTGCTCCGTTTTTGGGGCTTTGTGTGCTACCATCATGGGTAGTTTAGTCAGGATGCGTGTTTGTTTGCCCGCTGGTGCAGGAGTTCTCAAGGAGCATGTCTGGCCATCTTGGTTGTCAGGCCCCCGCCCCCAATAACCCTGTTGATGTTAATAATCGTTGAACAAGCTTTTTATTTGAAGCATCCAGACTTTATTTATTTTTTTTACAGATATCTAAAGAACAGATAAATCAACTTCTCTAGGCAGAAATTTCAACACCTTTACTGCTCTCACTTAATAAAAACACTTTTCTCTAAAGTAACTGTATACATTTGTGATTATTCTTTAAATTAAGAATGCTGGAGAGCTAATAAGCAAAGAGTAAATCTTAGGATCAAATAGCAAAATGGGGTGGGGGGTGGGGGAAGCTGATGTTGGAGAATTTTTTTAACTCTGGTATTTTGACCTAAAAACATGGAAGTACCTAAACTGTAAAAATGTATTACGATATTATGTTATGTTGGACATGTTGCTGATACATCAAGATGTTCAGATTGCAGGACAATAGTCTAAGTCAGGAGTTCCCAACCCAGTCCTCAAGGCACCCCGACCAGTCCAGGATTTAGGGATTACTCAGTTGTGTCTACGGGTTTTTTTTCTCTTTTTTCTAAAAACATCTTAGACATAACCAGGTAATCCCCAAATCCTGGACTGGTAGGGGTCTCTTAAAGGCCAGGTTTGGGAACCACTGGTCTAAGTAATATTACCTTTTCATGATCTGTTTCCCAATTTCAGTGGATCCTGTAAAACCAAGTTTTCTGACATGAGGATGGTCTGAGAGCCGTTGGCCAATGAGAGAGCCTGACCAAAAAAAGTAGAAAAAGGGATAGTGTGCGTCACCCGTAATGTTCCTTATTATTGTTCTTATAATTTATGTAGCACCAACATATTCAACACGACTCTACAGTTATAGAATAGGGATATCTGACAAGAGGTGAAGAAGGCCCTGCTCAAACGAGTTTACAATTTATCTGGAAGGGGTAAAAAAAAAAAAAATAGAACACAAGAGGAAAGACAGTGGAGGAGAGATTGACGGAAAGTTTGCCTGTGTCGGAATAAACTAGTTAAAGTGTGGACAAACCAAAAGAGAGAGTAAACCGGGCTATGAGAGTGAGTGAACTGAGGAGGACAATTGTAATAATAGGAACGTCATCATTAATTTCTGAAATTGAATTTCCTTCTATTTACTTTCAAGAAATGTAAAACAGAACTGGTAAAGATGGATCATAATTGATATGTGATTTTGGTTTGCCCTTCTAGTGGCCTGTATGTCAATTCTGGAATGAAGTTTCACAGCTGTTGATAACTGTAACTGTATCACACCCCCCCGTAATCTCTGACCACACCTGGGGTCTATGCACTTACCGGCTCCCGGCAGGATATTTACCACCCCCTTGGGAATGCCAGCTTTCACCGTTAACTCAGCAAACTTAAGTGCAGTGAGTGGGGTCACCTGAGGAGGATATCCCAAAAATTCAGTTTGTACATGTTAGCATACAGCTACAACTATGCAATAAACATTGAATACACTGAATTATCTTCATCTCAAAATACAATAAACTCTTGTCAACCAGAACAATAGAGAATACTGGGGGCATAGCCGTGTCACTCCATGGAGTTAATATTGCGTTCAATGTTGATATTCTATTTGTGATGAATAAGTTTGACTTATGTATGTTTTCACTGGATTTAAAGTTTAGATGGTAGCATACACATCCAAAGCTCCCTCACCTGAGCTGGTTTTAGCACCACAGTATTACCGGCGGCCAGGCAAGCAGCCGTTTTCCACGCCAGCATCATCAAAGGGTAGTTCCAGGGGATGATGATACCACAGACTCTGCAATAAACAAGCTGGTCAAGATAACTGCAATATTCTGTCGGTTTATCTCAGAGCTTTAATGGTTAATGCACCCATAAAACCGTGTTTTCAGAAAACACTGCCTTTAATTAAAGTAACCGTTTCTGGAGTGGTCTGCCTCCCACCCCAACTTTAAAATAAATAAATGCTAAAACGTATCTAAATATCAGCACCAAGTTCTCACTGTTTCCTGATCCTCCTTGGCTGACATCCCTTGCCAAAGGGGTTGGTAAGTCAAATAGGATGGAGTGAAAGGAGTCTGTCCTCTATGTATGTGAATCTTTATACAGACTACAGGCACCATGACCACTTTAAATCAATTAACTGGTCATGGTGCTTGGAGTAATCCTTTCATGTATTTCCTGCAGGACTTTCATCTCTGTACTGGCTGCTGAGATGTAGTAGACACACAGAATATGTTTCAGAAAGTGGTCACGGCTTTTTTTTTTATGAATAATTCCAGACTTAACTGCAGTGGGCAGCATCTATAATAATTTACCATTCATAATAATTTTACCTGCAAGTGTTTAGCTCAAGACTGGCATAGCTGTCTACATGTCCTGTGCTACTCAGCCAGACTTTTTCTGGAGGCAGGTTTATCAAAGCACACGAGAGTTGTAATTCAGCAAAATTGGAAAGTAACTTGTTGGCATGCACTGTTTGAACCCTAACTGGATCCTTTGTGTACAAAGTGAGTTATGCCAATATATTTTGGACAGGTCTGTCCTAGTAATTTAGAATGGTAGGTTTACTAGGGTGTATTCACCAGGCAATGACTTTTAATTAGATAATAGTTGACTTGAACATTTAGGCCATACAAACCTTTGATTTAAAGTGGTCAGCTCAAATCAATGATTAGTGAATAATTCTGTTCTGTTTTTTTATTTAAACCCTTTTGTATATACATTATAATAGTATATATTTATAACAGTGAAAATGGTCAAATAGGAAGATATACTGTTTCTGTTTAAGGCTTAAATGTCCTTTTATAGTTCTAGCATAACCATAATGCACCCAATAGTCTAAATAGACTTTAAGAAGGTTTTTATTTAATTCTGTGCCATGTATTGGCTATCCTACTTCCTCTCCTCTAACATACCATCCCTAATTTTTTGGGACTTAATTATTCCCATTAACCCACCCTTGACCTCAGCAGCCTCTAAACTACTTTCAATTATTCCTCCCTTGGGCTATCGCACTGGGCTAATTCTCTCACCCATGTAGCTGGCAATACCCTCAACCTCATTTTCTCCTATGCATGTACAGTGTCTAATATCTGCAACATTCCATTTCCTCTCTCTGACTACCACCAATTATCATTTGCTCTTGAATACCCCCTCATCAACAACCTCAGCCTAATCCTCCTCAACTCAGGAGGAACCTAAATTTAAATTGACCTCCAGCAGCTGTCAGCTGATATTGATCACAACTCCTACCCATCCCCTCCCTCTCCTGTCCCTCACTGGCCATCTCCACTTCTAACACTACTCTCACTTCTGCCTTGAACGCTGCAGCCCCACTCCAAACATGCACCTCAAGGAGGACACGCCCCCAACCATGCATACTAAATCAACACGCTACCTGCAAAGATGCTACGGTTGTGATGAACGCTCCTGGAGAAAGTCTCGCACCCAGTCAGACTTTCTCCATTATAGATTCATATTATGTTCATACAGCGCAGCTCTTGCCCTCTCCAAACAGTCATACTTATCCTCTCTCATTAATCCCAAGCATCTCTTTGACACCTTTAACTCTCTTCCTCGCCCTGCTGTGGCCACCTCTCAAACTAACCTTACAGCCAATAGCTTTGCATGTTACTTTACCGACAAGATTGAACAGCTAAGGAAATAATTCTCCCTACCCGGCCTTTCTCTTTCTCAGCCACACGTAGATCATGCCTTTCCTACCCTTCAGACTTCCTCCCCGGCTACTGAACAAAAGGTGGCTGCGCTTATCCTTTCCTCTCGTCCCACCACTTGCCTGTTCGATCCTGTCCCATCTCATCTTATCAGATCTCTTCCCCCTTGTCTTGTGCCTTCCTTAACACACATCTTCAACTGACCGCTGTCTTCTAGCATTGACCCTGCTGACCTTAAACATGCCACTGTAGTACCTATCCTGAAAAAAAACATCTTTCGATCCGTCCCATATCCCTGTTTACTTTTTCCTCAAAGCTTCTGGAAGACTTGTCTTTACCTATATGTCTCACTCCCTCAATTCCAACTCTCTCCTTGACCCTCTTCAATCTGACTCCGCTCCCTCCACTCTACTGAGACTGCTCTTATCAAAGTTACCAACGACCTAATCACAGCTAAATCCAAAGGCCACTACTCCATACTAATTCTTCTTGACCTCTCTGCTGCCATTGACACCGGTTATCATGCTCTCCTTCTTCAAACTCTTCAATCACTCGGTCTCTGTGACTCCGTCCTCTCGTGGTTTTCCTCTTATCTCTCCCAATGCTCATTCAGTGGCTCCTTTTCTAATGAAACTTCCTCCCTTCATCCTGTCTTGGTTGGAGTCCCCCAAGGCTCTGTCCTTGGTCCCCTTCTATTTTCTCTTTTTACTGCCTCTCTTGGCAAACTTATTACCTCATTTGGATTCCACTACCACCTGTACGCTGATGACACCCAGATATAGGTCTCCTCCCCGGACCTCTCTCCTGCTGTCCTGCAATGTGTTACTGTTTGCCTTTCTGCCATCTCTGACTGGATGTCCTCCCACTTTCTGAAACTCAAAAAACTCTCTAAAACTGAGCTCCTCGTCTCTCCTTCTCCTAATATTGATCTTCCTCTTTTACGCTCCCTTCAAGTTACTGGTATCCACATAAGTCCATCCTTGTAAGCGCGCTGTCTTGGTGTCATACTGGATTCTGGCCTCACCTTTGAGCCTCACATCCAGCATGTTACCAAGTCCTGTAGATTCCAACTTAAAAGCATACTCAAGATGCTACTAAGGAGCTTGTCCATCCTCTAGTAATTTCCTTATTATTTGGATTATTGTAACCCTCTCCTAATTGGTCTTCCCAAAAGCCATATAGCCTCGCTACAGTCTATAATGAATGCTGCTGTTAGACTGATTTTCGGTCCTCTGACACCTCACCCCTCTGTCAGTCCTTACATTGGCTTCCTGTATCCTATGACTCAATTCAAAGTGCTAACCCATACCTATAAAGCATTGGCCAATTCTAGCCCCTCATATCTTCATAGATCCATAGGTATGCCCCTCCTCAATCTCTCCGCTCTGCCCGTGATCTTCTCCTGTCCGCTGCTCGCCTACGGCCAACTCGCGCCTGCAATACTTCTCGCGGTCGGCTACCTTCCTAAGGAATAGCCTGCCTACCGCCATCATACTCTCCCCTAGTCTTCAATCGTTTAAAAAGTGCCTTAAAACCCATCTCTTTAGAAAAGCTTATGGCCTCCCAGAGTAACCTCTACCTCACATACCTGTCTCTTGCTCTCTCCTAAAGGGCAGCACTCTACTCTCTCCTCCAGCTCTGCTTCACTCCGACTTTATTTGATTGCTATTTCCTGTCTTATTGTGTTTTACACCCCACCTCCTATAGGACCGTTTGAGCAGGGTCCTCTTCAACCTATCATTCCTGTAAGTTTTCTTGTAATTGTCCTATTTATAGTTAATTCCCCCTCTCATAATATTGTAAAGCGCTACGGAATCTGTTGGCACTATATAAATGGCAATAATAATAATAATAATAATAATAATAAGTTAGTTTGTCATTTGATACACAAATAAAAACAGACCAAACTCACCCAATGGGTTCTTTCTTAGTAAACGTCAGATTGCGGTTTGGCCGAGCCTGGTTAATGGGAATAGTGCAGCCCTAAAATACACAGAGGGCAAATCTGTTTCTGAACTTTACTATGCAAATTTAAAGCATAGTTATTCCTTTAAACCATTTACAGCATGCTGTCATTAAAATACCAGCTATTTTACATAGTATATTATTAAAATACATGTTCATATAAAATGTATGACATCCAATATGCTTTAAAAAAGAAATGCCTTTAATTGATCACCCTGTGTAATCCCAGGAAGATTAAGATTTTCGCCACCTGCTTAGTCCAAATAGAAACCTGGTTTTGACTGGGCAATACCATAAATTGTTAGAAGGTTTTATTGTGTTATTTTTTTGTAAATTACTCTACTAAACTACCTTTTTAATGCAGTTTGAAAATCCCAGCCTAATCTCCAATATGATAATACATCAGAAATTATTACAAAGAAAGCAATTCAAAGTGATTCAGTCGTAGATCTTCTTGCTATCTTTCTCTCACCTGGATTTTATCGCACCAGCCGGCAAAATATCTAAAAGTTTGGATGGACATCCCCACGTGGGTTTTCAATGCCAGTGTGTACACGGCCCCCGAGTCTATGGATTCAATAGTGGCCAGCTCTCCTTGATGTTGCTCCATGAGGTCTGCCAATCTAGAGCCATGGAACAAAAGTAAAAATGTGTGTTATGGTCCGTAAGATTCCTGGGAAAAAGCAGTATCTTTTTATTTAATTTTTTGAAATATTATTTATTAGAATTTTCTTTTACATATTCTTGTTTTATACAACATAAACAGCGTATAGACAGAAACAAAAAAGAAAACCAATACACAAAAAGATACATTAACAGCAGGTACCCAGTGAATTGGGAAAGGATCAACTCAGAAATATCCCTGAACATTTAGTGGTATTTCCCATTAAAAGTACCAATTTATATATAGTCGTAACAGTGCAATTTTACAAATCTAAAACATGGTCAGTTCAATAAAGGTCTAACTCATAGTTAGTCTAGTAGAAGAATTTGTATCAATATAAAAACAATTTTCAATAAAAAAAAAAAGTCAATCAAATCCTTCCATTCAATTTAATCACTTACTAAAACTTTCAGCCATTTGTTATATTGATCTTGTTTATTTAAGTAATATAGAGAAGAGCCATGCAAATCCTTTTCCATACAGAGTTGAAATAAAAGTTGGTCAATTAAGTGGAAAGGAAGATTTAATTTCCATTGTCTTGCTATTAAAATCTTAGTTGCTAAGAAACAATGGATAACAAGGCAAAAGCAGTATCCCAATACCCCCATCCTCTTTGTTAAACGTCTGTCACCATGTATTAGTGATATCAACATATTTTTGCTTATTATTAATTACATTGTCATTTGGCACTAAAGGATGCAAATGATTTATTTACTAAATACTACACTTAGACTAAAAGAGACAAGCAATAAATGTAGCTGAATTAAAGAATGTTTCTAAAACCACTCCTGCTTCAATTAAGTTTTTAATTCACACAATTTGGCATTCAGTGAATAAATTCAGTTTGTCAAAACAAAAGCTTGAGTAACTTAACTAATCATGTACTTAAAGAGGTTCTAAAGGGCACTATAACCATGCCATCTCATTAAATCGGTTATAGCGCTTGAAGCCCCCTTTCTTTATCCATTCAGTGTTGAACCACTTTCAAGCAGTAAACATTGAATGAGCTCTAGCTCATTTCATGCCAATTTAGAGTAATGCAGGCTGTGATAGGCTGAAGTAGCCAGTTGACACTCTCAGCCAAACACCGTCACCCACTGCTGCTCAGGTTTATATTTCCTCAATAATCCAAGTCGCAAAGAATGGATGGGCTGCTGGGGACTCTTGCATTGCATTAGAACATAAAAAAAAACACTTAATGATTACTATTAATAATAAAAGTAATTAATTATGTAAGTGGTAATATTCATACGTCCAAAATGGTTTAATTTTACAAACTCTAATGTTCCCTCAGGCAAAGTTCCACACAGGCTTATAATCTATCTGGCTCTTGGCTCAGCTTCCTACTACAGTAGATGCCATAGTTACCTCATAGAAAGTAGTAATTGATTTAGTAAATAGAGAGATGATAAAAATTCAGTGGAAATTAACATTTTGTACATTTTGGACTGTTCTTTTAAAAAAAAAAAAAAAAATCAGAGTCAAGTTTTCATCTCACCTGTAAAGCAGACTTCCTCTGTCCCTCGGGTTCATCTTTCTCCACTCGCCATTTTCAAAGGCCTCCTTAGCTGCAGCCACAGCTTTATCGATATCAGAAACCTGTGCTAGCGAAACCTTGCAGATAGCCTAAGAATAGACAGAAACTTTGCCACCATGTGTTGCAATTTCCTATAAACCATCACTTCCAAATCATTTACAGGATTTTCCATAGGCCCTGTTTTGTACTGTTGTACATGAACGAGAGCATAGTGAGAGCAGCTTCTGGTAGATGAAGCCACCAAGAGCCAAAGGAATGAACAAGGAAGAACATTTTGGTGGCAAAGAGTTGGAGGTTTATGTAAGAATATTTACCATTCCTTTGTCCCTCTGAGTGCTACAGGGCAAGCCGAACGCCTTGAGGGTTTATACAAGTAATGCAAAGTAAGTTTTCACAAATTTTTCAATAATCTCCTTGGCATAGATGCTATTACTATCTTAGTGGTACCCATTTAAACAACCTTGGAAAGACAAGGCTACACTGGATCATGTCAGGAGTCAAGTCTATGGTTTGATCAGACACTAGAAATGTATCTAGAACATTAAGCACGAAGCTATCACGGTGATCAATCGCTGTGATTTAATTTTTTTTCCCCAATGGGCAGATCCCGTAGGTTCAATATTGCATGGAGAACCCCTAATTTTAGTGTACCTGTGATTGGTGGGGGTTAGGTACTATTTATTTACAGCTATCACCATTAATTGGACCCCTTCGCTTACTGCCTTTTAGCAGCACTTACCATTCCATCTGTTGGATTAAATGTTTCATATGTTTTTCCACCTTCGGCATCTATAAATTTTCCATTGATAAACAACTGATGAGGCATTCTGACAGTCATGTTATTAGTGTGTTTTTCCACCTGGAACAAAAGTCAGGAACATGTTTATTGTAGGGACGATTAACACAAAAGAACCTCTAATATCTACATCCTAGGAGATGATCAAATAGTTTACATGTGACTTTAAATGGCATTGCACATTGTCTACGCCAACATAAAACCTTTTTAATGTTTCTTTTACTGAAACAACATCATCAAGACAAAAAATGTTGGATATTAAAGGGAGATAAATTACCATCAGTATATATCTGTTACATCCATCTATCTCTAAGTAAAATAAAAGAAAATACCCTGAACTCAATATAAAGAACAGGCCATAATGTAACTCACATAATCAATTATCAGCTCTTCTTCTCTGCCCTCTCCCCTACGGCGCCGCACCAGCATTTGTATGAATTCCTCGAACTGTGTCGCCATGTAAACATCCTCGTTCTGCAGTTGCAGCCCATCACATTTTAGCTTCACTTCTTCTACGAGCCTGGAAAGACACAAAGCCATCAGGAGAACCTAATACTATATGTTTCTCCTTTCCAAGAGAAGGCATCCATGCAAAAATATAAATTAAGTTTTATCTATTTTTTTTTGTGCTACTTTTACTAAGGTGAATCATTTGCTTTTACACTGGCGAATTCTTGCTGCAGAATTTACTGAAGGGCTAGATCATAAAATAAATGTACAGTGTAACAAGGTATCAGGACTGCATTGCAAGACACAATCACTGAAAGTACTTTGAAAAATTTAAACATGTTTTGTACTCTTCTCATAGGCTGAGTTAATTTTAACTTACATAAATATAACCCACACAAATGCATGCATGCAGACACAGATGCACGCATGCACGCACACCCACACACACTCACACATGCTTTCCATAAGTTTCCCAGAACACTAGTTTAGAACCCTATGTTACTGTTATTACAATTAATGCTTTTTATACTGTATTTTGTGTTTATTATGTTTAATAAGATATTTATTTTTCTTGGTATACCGATTGAAACTTCCCCTAACAAACAGACCTCAGTACATCCATGGAGGCTGCTCCTGCCTTGAAGAAATCAGTGGAATTTTCAATTTCAGAGACATTGGAGAGGATTCGTTTCCACACAGCCTGAGAAAGAGAATTAAAAGAACTTACATCAAAGTGACTGTGCCATTTATTTAAGCTATACCAAGCCAATGATAATTAACCGTAGCACTGTGGATCTTTTGCAAATAATATATGGATTGGGTATCATGGTCAACTACTACTGGCATAGACCATACATACTATACCACTGGTTCACATACCCCACAGAGCAAAATTAACCATAACGTGAACCTAAGCGACCGCCCAGGTCCCAATGCTTAGACAGGGGCCCTAGGACCAATAATAATCCCTATGTGAAGAATAAAGAGGGGGATGCAAACTGGTGACCTGCCTAGGGCCCCAAGTGATGATAATCCTCTTCTGGTACCCCATTGGGGTAGAAATCAAAGGGCACATTTTGTAAAGTCTTTTTATATCTTGGGATGTGTAGAAATCTCAGATACTTATATTTTTATATGCTGCCATCCTTGCTGCACATACCCTAATCTCCTCGGATAGTGCCAGTTCTTCTTCCGAGAGATGCAATGTGGTAGTGTCAGAGGATTTGAAATACTGTGAAGCCGGTATCATCTTCCCATCTTCAAACTGAAGATTCTTTACTGTGAGCTGCATGAAATCACAAATATTACTGTATTAAATAACTCATTTTACAGTTCTCTTCATTTGAAGATTAATATGCTACATAAATTGTCTAGGTTAGGGTCTTCCCACCATGGACTAGATGGCAAATTTTTTAAAAAATTTTTTTTAACTTGACTAGTGTTTCTCATTGAGGTTTCTTCAAAGCAAGACATAACTAAAGTAAATGTATCAAAGAATAATAAGTTGACGACCATTTTTAAAACCTGAGCCAAATTTTTTTTTAATTGTTTTAAAAGAGTAAAATAAATAAGTAATTTTTTGTCCAGTTTAGTACACTTGGCAGAATTCTTTTTAACACAATTCAAAATGTACTGAATATATGCTATACAATAAATAGGAAATAAACAGACTAAGGACAAAGTCTAGAATTCAGTTATCATGTTGTTGAAATTACGTCTAAGAGTGTATGCATCTTATCAAGCAAGCAACACTGTGTAACAAGATGTATCCACTGTGATATTCAGATACGTATGCCACCTTTTTATTTGTCCATTCATTTTCTCAGTCATTATTTTCCAATTGGAAAAGCATTTCATTTTAAAAATATTTAGATTATCCAGATGACAAATCCCAGCATTAGCTCATCTTTAGCTAATTTGTGTAGGAGTGAGAATGAAAGATCAGTGCATGTCCGTTAGAAATGTATAATGTTAGACACAGATAGAGAGAGAGACCAACAGATAGAGGCACTGTTATAGCACGCAGTGTGAAGGTAGGGTTCATTTCCTATGTCCACAATAGCCTTCACATTAAGGAATCTCATAAAAGATGTATCCTGCAATAATTTAACCCTTTAACCACTATTAACAATTCATGTATATTATGATTTGATAACTCTTGCTAGGCTCCATGTCATGTGGCGGTTAACATAGCTCTGTCTGCAGCAGGATAAGACAACCTTTTGCACTCCAGATGTTGTGAACTACATCTCCCATGATGTTCTTACGAACATAATGCTGGCAAAGCATCAAAGTAGTTGTAGTCCACAACATCTGGAGTGCCAAATGTTGCTTACCCTTGGTCTACAGTATATATTTTCCACAAATGCCTCTAATATAAAGATAAATATGGCCGCCCTATTATCAATGTATTATTATTATTGCTGGTATAGTTATGTGTAATCTATCTTGGTATCTAAATGCAAGTTTAACCATCATACAGTTCCTCTGATGTTGTGAAAGTAAAGCTCCCATAATGCTTTGCAAGCTGTGTTCCATGTTAAAGATGTACAAGTATAACCTGAGCTAGGTTTCACAGTCTTGTGTTTTATATAGGTTTATTATCTGAAATCAGTTCCAGTACAAAAGGGTTCTGCATTTATTGTACTATATTATAGTTTACAAAATAAAAATCTCACCGTTTTACCATCATTGCCAAACAGGACAAGACCGTTCTTGCTGACCATGGCTGGTTGCGATGCTCCAGCTATTTCTAGTGGTACCCCATCTGTGACTAGTCCGGTCGATGTCAATGTGGAGCCGAAAAATGTAATTTTCTGGAGAAATGAATAAAGTGATAAAAAGAGATTTAATAAAACTACTTTGCATGGTCTGAATAATTTTAAATCTAGTGTATAAAAGAGTTCAACTTGTAAACCATAAAAGGATTCATCTAATTCATTACCAACACATTGTGCAATGCAGCAATCTACATAAAAATCTAAAATGCTTGTGTAAAAATAATATAATAACATTCTAAACTATGATAACATGCCCAGATTGCTGTCATCCCTTTAAGATCCCAACCTGTCCTGTCCACCCCTGTTCTGTCTTCATACTTATCAAGATTGATGAGTATGTAAAGGTTGGAAAAATATAATCATATAGTAAACAAACAAACTGCTTTTATAGTAAGATGTATCAAATATATATCGATTATCAAGGAATGTTTCACATGGACAACACAGAACAAGAGTTATAAATAAGATAGGGAGAACGCTGGGGTGACAAGGAAACTATACATAGGAAGAGGAGGCAAAAGAACTTTTGAACTTTTTTATTATAAACCTAGCATTGAGAAATATTAAATCAGTACTGGAGGGGGTGTCAGTGGTGCTATGAGCTTAACTAGTGGCGTGGTTGCTGGTATGGGTGTTGTTACCGATGTGCACCATTTATTATTTTGCTGTGCTCTCATCCTATTTTAAGTGAACCTCTGCTGGATTAATGATTTACACTTTGCCTTCATGCTGTGTCATGATGATTACAAGATTGTATGGATAGTAAACATTCATTCACAGGAAGCCAAATTTTCTAATATTGCAGTTTGCATTGACTGGCTATTCACTGCAATGCCAAAGTTCTAGCAATTCAAAGTTCATTTCAGATGCATTAAAAAACACATTAATAATGAATACATTCCTTTAATTCCAATACAGAAATTATTAGAATATTTAAATACAAGTTCTGTAACTGTTATTGAAAAGGGATAATTAATCTACACTATCAAACTCTGTAACTGTTTGGAGAAGAAAGTACCAGTTCAGTGGAGGCTACCATGGAACCAGTACAGATGTCATTTCTAGTAGCACCTGTGCTTTTGTTCCTTTTGTGTATAATCTAGCCCTCTATGCAGGAAAACTCCCCAATCTGCTTGTGGCAGAGTGTTGCATAGAGCAGGAGGATGCATTTTTTTTCTGCCCGACTTTCGCAGTTTGCTAAAGTCTTATTTTGTGGGTGGCCTACTGGTAAAGGCTGGTTATTCTGGAGGCCATACGGATGACTACTCACCAATTACCTTGGCACATGTACATCCACAGATCTCAGAAGCCCCAACTGTCTACTGCTAAAGATACTCGAAATATTGATATCACTATACACCTCGCATCAAGTTGGCATACCCAGAAGATTCTGAGGCTTACACTTCTTCATCGGATGATGGCATGGTGGACCAGGCCTTACCTCCCTGTACACCATTCCCCGTCAAGAGGTTCCAGCACTACTGGATGGTTCAACCCCAGCTACCAAACAGGATATCCACAGTTTATTTACAGACTTTCAAAAGCAGTTGGAAATTGACCTAGCCGTTGTAAAGGCAGAGGTGCAAGCAGTAACAACTTGTGTACAGGCCTCTAACAATGAGTTTTATTGCTGTTGAGCTCTGTGGTACACTCATACAGACCACACATTACTGTGATATTTATTTCTGTAGAACGCTATGATACAGCTGTATGGACACAGATTCTGAGCGCCTAGAAAAAAAGACAGCAGGTATAAAGTAATTTATATCCTTAATATAGACACCTGAGATGCATACAGGAAGCATTAGGAATGGTTGAAAACAGACACACACCTTTCCCTCAATTTCTGTCCAAGCTCCGGGCACTTTGTCATTCCCTCTGATAAAGTTGTGGATAGCTTCTGCAGTTTGGTCCCAGTTAATCTTTATACAAACAAAAACAAAATTAATCTCTGAAAAGAAAGTGTTTACTGCAAAAAAGCTTGAAGGGAATGATTATACTCACCAGAACAAATACAATAAGCTGTAGTTGTTTTGTTGACTATAGTGTCCCTTTAAATTTGAAATTCACCTTAAATTCACTGTGAATTCTTACTTTAACAAATAACCCCGTGGGAGTGCTTCCCCATATCCGAGGCTTTCAGACTCACCTGATTATGATTGGGTTAATACAATTACTGTTGATTGCGAGAAAAAAAAAGATTTTCTGGATTATTATTAAGGTCAATAAAGTCATCTTTTTTATTGACTCCAATAAAGTCAAAGAGAAGATATTAGTGCCAAAAATTAGAGTTGGTGCAATCTATAGAAGGGTAGGAGTCATTGTGATTGTTACGATGTTTACCTTGGCATTCTCTTTTTTTTGGATGGGGTCATATGTTGCACCTTCCGTGGGCTGCGGGATTTTTGGTGCAGTGCCTTGGGCAATCTGCTGGACGGCCTTCACCTAGAATTAAAGAAAAGTATTACCTACTCAGAACAGAAATATTAACTGAAGAAAATTTAATTTTTACAGACAAAAATTCATGAATAAATGCACAATCTGAAAAGTAGAAATCTCTTTATTGTACAGGAAGGTCAAACGTTGACTTTCATTGGTTCCCATAGAATTTAAGAAAAACCGGTACGAACTGACTTTGCTTTAATGTTGCTGCAGTTTCAATGTTCAGTAAAGCAAAAAGGTTTGCCGTCGTGAGTTTAAAGGGACATTCCAGATCCCTAAAGTACTTTGGTTACTGAATTGCTTAATGTGTGAAGAGTGTGTCCTCTTTTTTTCTTTATACAAAAGTGCAGATTTTAACAAAAAAATTGCAATTTTATAATACAAAGTTGTCAGACACCAGGTCCTGTTACTTTCTGGTTTGGTTTGCTCAATGGAGCTAAATTCAAAAGGCAACAATTGCCCAGATCACCTGCCTTACTAAACATTGATTTTTTTTTTTTTTTTTATGGATTTTGTTTTTGGGGGGAGGGGTGGAGAGGGGCAGTGGAGTGTCCTTTAACTTTGTCATTATTACCATATTTTTTCCAACAAATTACCATTATATATTTTAAACATTTGCTGCTTAATTATTGTTTAACCTAGGTTTAACAGTAAGAAAATGTGTACATTGAATTAACTATAGCTATCTAAAATTGATATTTGTTAGGAAATTGAGGGTAATTTGGGGATTTTAACACCTTCAAGACTTAAAGATAATTTCTTTAATGTCACATATAGTAAGTATAGTTTTGCAAAAATGTTTGCTATGTAAGATAATGCTGCCTGCTATAGCAATGCACAATTAAAGATATGATATATTTATGCAGTATTTAGACAAAGGAGGTTAAAGCATTTTAAAAGCAAAATCCTCTCGTAGACATGACGAGGAGAGATTGGTAAAACTTGTGCAAGGTCATAGCAACGGAAGTTCCGTAGGAACAGGTGAAAAGGAGCACATGGGACGTGAAGTTGCCATAAGATCTCTTTTCTGTGTATACTGAAGACCACTGTGTCTACTGAATAGACTCACCATCCCCTTCACTCCCTCAGGGAAGAGAAACCTGTTGTATATTGAATTCACAGTGTCATCAAGAAGGACCTCACACTCTCTCTGTAGCAGAATGTCTCCTGTATCCAGCCCGTCGTCAGCCCAGAAAACAGTGAAGCCCCCAATCTTGTCCCCCTGCATAAGGGTCCTGGAATAAAAAAAAAGTTATTTTCAAAACAGAAAATGGAATATGAGAATGTCATGGCCCTACAGATGGATTGTCGCCAAAACCCAAAGTATGAAAACAATATAAATATAATAATTCTGTAATCACACAGCTATATGTAGGGGTTGATGACAGAGAGCTGCATTGGTACTACAAGGTAAGTATGCTTGTGTTCTTTACCGTTCTCTAGTATATGCGATCTCTAACATCAACTATTAATAGAGGACAGTGTCAGGTTATTTACTGCAGTGTGCTGGACCTTCATTGTGGATTATCGATCAGTCAAACCTAACCAGTTCCAGTAACTCTTACCAATTGATCGCAGAGGCTCCACGATGACGTGGCAAGATGGATGGGTGATAAATAATGGATCCATGTTTGGGGAAATCAATTACTTCCATTGGAATAAATTGGGAGCAGAATGGGAGCACGTTCAGCTCTGCTTCCAATGCCTTGTACTTCTCTACCACTTCAGGGATTGCACTCCCTTTCACCCTCCATCTGGGAAACTTAAACACAGGCACTCCATCCTTTTCTGCTTCCATGCCTGCAGGAAGATTAATCAGGGATGCATTAAACATGCATTGACAGCAAACACCAGAACCGTAGTTAAAAGAACATAACATGGTTAATTATCCTACAACAGTAAGAATTCACACAGCATGGGTTTTAAAACAGAGTCTACAAAAATATCTGATACCAGCAATGCATACTGTGCCGTGGTGCAATGTATTTATTAACACAGCAGCAAGCTATGAATCCTATTCTACTCAAATACAGACACCTGAGATTTGCAATAGTTGCACGTCCGCTGTTACCTGTCTCCATCATACTGAAGTAGCATTATATTCGTTACCTAAGGAGTAATGCAGGATTCAGTTAAAACTATTGCTGGCATATATGATGACTCCAAGTTAAAAGTTAACATATGGAGTGACATTCTACTCCAAGTAAAAAGTGGACATTTTGAATGGGTTTCTATTAAGCAGAAAAACTAATCTCCCATATTTGGTATAATAGCTATCTGTAGGGCATGTTTAAGTTTACATGTTGTGTTCTCATTAAACCCCAATGGGAACAAAGTTAAACAGTTGATCACAGAGAAATTTAGGGTTGAATATTTACTAAAAGTTAATTTTGACAAATTGAACCTGAATTATAAAATTGAGGCATAAAATAGCTGCACTGGAAAAAAAAAAATTAGCACTAGTAACAGCTTTAGCCTCAATTTCACTAATATTTAACCTCAATTTTACAATTCTGACCTAATTCTATAAAATGTGGTTTAATAACTAACCATTTCTGAAATAAGCATAATTTGAGGGAGCATGACTAATGCATTGCCCAATGAGCCGAACAGGGCCCTAGAATGAATTACACTAAAGGTAGTTTTAGTGAATACCAGATTCTTATTCATATGTGATTACCAAAGGTAAAATATCCTAACTTGCATTGCCCGTGTTACAGAATATGCATTACATAGTTTGCCTAAAACGTACCTAGGGGGTCAGGTTTGCCATCTTTATCTGGGATGGTAAACACGCCTACCACCTGATGCCCCTCTTTTAACAGCGCCTTGTAAACTTCTCTGCCGAAAAGGCTCTGCCCAATCACCGCTATTTTCATGTCTCTGTAAAAGGTAAGATCTAGATTCACAAAAGCAAGAGAGAAGGTATTTAAAATTTATCGCTAAGATGAGCAACTCGGCATGAGAAGAGTTAAAATAGTGTACCTGCTACAATAACACCTTGTGCAGCAATGAAGCTAGCACTTTCTTACAAATTACATGATACAATTTAACATTTTTGAGAATCTTAGTAAATCCCTCAATGTTTTGCAGCAACATGAGCATTAAGATTCTAATATAGTATATTGAAATGAAAATGTTTAAAATGTAAATGCATTATCACAAATTGTTTACTCAAACTATGTACATATGTAATTTTTTTATATCCTATTTATCATAAAACATTAAATAGAAAATATATATCTCCACGTCCGCTTTACAAACTCGATTTTACCTCTTTGGATCTTGTTAAATGAGTTAAATGATGCAAAAATGTAATATGAACCAGTCACAAGGGTGTTGAAATGATATCCAAAGTTTAGGTCAGGTTGAGCTGCTTGTCACTTAAGATAATAAAGCATTAATAATGTCCCCTTGTTTATCCTCGCATAAGTACAAAACAAGTTAAAGCGATTTAAATGGACAGTAAAGAAATGACCAATGAGAAAGAGGAGGCAGGTGTGGGGAAGAATTTTTGATATCCTGAACAAACAAACAGCCACCTCCCCCTTGCTGGTGAGCTCTGCCAATGGCCTTAAATATCATGTGAACAACCCCTTATTTTATCACTTGCACCTTTACCCATAATGCCTCATATAGGACTATAGATTGCCTCTTCTTCAGACCTTAATGTAGACACTAGAATACAATTTAAAGCAAACATCATAAACTGAAGTTAGTTGTGTATAGTTTGTGTCCCGGAGAAGCAAAAATAACATGTTTAATTGCTTTTTATCTACAACGCATGATGTAGTGAAAGTTCACTCCTTTATCATGCCACTGTGATTATGTGCTCAAATAAATAAATGCATTTTTATCACTTCATAAATGTATTCATTTAATCTTATTCATTTTTCTGTTTTGTTTATGTACAAATATGTTTCAAAAATGTTATTATAGGTTTTGGTGATGTAGTTTGTTTTATTGCGGTCTGCTCATTCTGCATGAGTTCCCTTAGTGGTCTGTGTACTGGATGAGGGTGGCAGGAGTTAAAGAGGGCTGGGTCTTTAGAACAACAGGCAAGTTTATTCAATACACAACTTTATAACCTGATAGCGGGGCAAATATCAAGGAAAATGACATCAAGCGGACAGCACGCACAGGCAACAACAGACCTCCCAAACATCCCAATTTCGGTGGGAAAGCAATTTTTAGATCCTGTCTGTCTGTCCCAACTTGTTCCCTGGTGTCCCACTTTTAAGGAAACCAGGGAACTGCTGCCACCAACAAGCACAGCGCAAGGGCATCATTAGATGCACTTGTACTATGTTCAGGACACTAGGATTATGCAGAGAGTACTGAAAAATAAGATAGAAAGCCCTGCGGAATTTGTTGGCACTATATAAATAATAATAATAATAATAATAATAATAATAATAATAATAATAATAGACAGAGAGCCTGACATGTATTCACACTGGGCTGACCTGACTGTAATTTGGGTAGACCCGCATCCTTTCTGGGTAGGTATGCATTTTTGGGGCAGAACCAGTGACACAGTTGTTCCCCCTCCTTGACTATATCCCATTGACATCCCACCTCTCAGTATGCTGGAGTCCACATCAATGATTTAACATGATCATGGTGCCTGTAGTCTAGTCTGTATCTGCATGGTTTTACAATGTAACCCTTCACATGCAAAGTTTAACCCTTCTGCTGCCGGGTGTTTATTTCCCAATCTCCGGCAGCATCACTTGACACCATTAGTCAGCCTTGAACAGGAGATTTTTTAGGCAACTATTAAAGGGACTTCATTGACGAGGTCCTGCAATCTTTGCAATTAATTCTCTGCAGTAAGTAGATGAACACTATCCCATAGAGATTCACTGATTCAATGCATCTCTATGAGGAGATGCCATTTTTTTACTGTTCAATAGCCTCCAAAAGCTTCACTATGTTTAAGGAGACAGGACAGGCAGCACGGAGATCGGGGCAGCAAGGGCCACAAGGTATTTTACTCTTCTTTTTTGTATTCTTAACGCTATAGTGTCCCTTTAAACAATACCGCAGGTCACCAGTAGTTTAAGTTTACAGTAAAAATCTTCTAGTGAGCCACTAACCCTAATCTGAAACAGTCATCAAACAGGGAATACATTAAATACTGCAACAGGGCATCTTGCATTCCTCCAAGTCAGGCTGATAGATTCGAAGGGAGGTGAGATCAAAAGTAAGTTCAGCTCTTGTCCTTAAAGGAGATAATTCTATATTACAAGGAAGTGAATAATGTATTAGTCCCATAATATAAATGATTTACTTTTACCCAAATGTAATGAGAATGTGTTGTGACAATACGTCCCTGGTGTCTTTGCTATGGAAGGTGTAGGAGTTCAGGCATGTTATTGTTCGTCGGTTTCTTTTGCTAACCTGCACAACTAACTGCTAAGCACTAAAACCTGGTACTTTGAGTTGTGTATCCACCGACAATTTGTATAGGATAGGATATTCTATCTATATAGTCCACTGGCAATTCTCTCTGAGTAACTATTCCATAGTAGACAAACAACAGCAAAATACCTGGATGCTTCAAAAGACACACAGGCTCCTACTTGATAAATCCCAAACCCACTTTATTCTGTTCATAGACAGAATATATAGCAGTTCTCCATATAAAACATAAATACCAGTGGCCAATCAGGGACATGATAGGCCCAGGGGAATATGAAATCAATTATAACATGGTACATCTCAAATTATAGAGAGCCTAATTTAAAACCGTTAATCCAATTACAGGTACACCAGACAACAGGTAATGTTATAAAAAATATCAAATTCTACTTAACAGAAGACATCAGGTACAGGTAATTCAAGACCGAGGGGGAAACAATGAATCCAATTAACAGACCCCAACGCTGTATCCCTAATTGTGTAAAAGAGCCTCAATGGCTAGATCTAAGCTTACGGGCAGGATCATCTCTACCTTTGTGTATTTGTCTGTGTTGATTGCATGTTCTCCCCTAATTGTACAGCGCTGCCAAATTTGTTGGCGCTTTATAAATACCAATAATAAATACATTTTAAAAATTGTGTATAGAGGATGTGCCTGCACTGTAGGCAGCAAGTCATCCACCATTGTGCCTGACTCACTTACTGTGACACAATGTAATCCTGCAGAGTCTGTTTTACCGCTAAAATGATGCTTTGTACATATAAAGCAAAGGGGGAACATGGTGAGGGTCCCTGGCATCTTTGGCAAAACAAGGGACAACATAGGCCTACCATGATGACAGACCAGTAACAGAACCATTGTTCTGTGACAGTCCTGCTCCTCGCAATATTCAAAAAGTTATTATTTTTTCTTAATTCCTTAACCTTCAGCATTCGCATAGCTGTGCAATCCTGTACCCACAGGCTAGAAATTGTTGAGAGCTACTGTTCTCCCAGGATTAGGCTTGTATTGTAATATTTAGGTATGGTTACCATGGTAAAACTGGAATATGAGTTCAGCTATTGTCGCCGATTTGCTGAGTTGCTGCTCACTAACTCATTATTCTCCCAGCTTTCATTCATCCTTGGTTTTTACCGTCTTTTTTGGGGGTCCTCTGCCCCTTTCCTCACACCACTTTTGAATTGGGTCCTCTGTACCAGTTCTAACAGATTTTCTCCCACTTCAGTAAGTGACAGAGAGCTTCCTTTTGTTTAAAAAGCACTGCATCTCAGAGCCACTCACATTCTGCTGGATGTAGAGAGATGTAAAGGTGGTGTTGAGAAGAGAGGGCTGGTTCAGAAGACACTACCAGGTATCTCTGCAGGCTACAGTAGCAACCTAAAGTGTTCTTTATAGTATAATACTACACGCATGCAGACCTTATTTTAACATTATAGTGCCATTTTTATGAAGCTGCATTCCCAGAACTCCCATCAGTTTCTGATAAATATAAGCACAATATATATTTGTAACACATGTAACACTTATCTTAAATCTATGTGCTTAAATTTTTTTACAAAAAGAACTTGCTAGTGAAGGTGTTAATTATTACTGTGACTCCTTTATAAATAGCTTCCAGTACTTGGTAGTGAAGGTGTTCATTATTACTGTGTCTCCTTTATAAATAGCTTCCAGGACATGGTAGTGAAGGTGTTAATTATTACTATGTCTCCTTTATAAATAGCTTCCAGGACATGGCAGTGAAGGTGTTAATTATTACTATGTCTCCTTTATAAATAGCTTCCAGGACATGGTAGTGAAAGTGTTAATTATTACTGTGACTCCTTTATAAATAACTTCCAGGACTTGGTAGTGAAGGTGTTAATTATTACTATGTCTCCTTTATAAATAGCTTCCAGGACATGGTAGTGAAAGTGTTAATTATTACTATGTCTCCTTTATAAATAGCTTCCAGGACATGGTAGTGAAAGTGTTAATTATTACTGTGACTCCTTTATAAATAACTTCCAGGACTTGGTAGTGAAGGTGTTAATTGTTACTATGTCTCCTTTATAAATAGCTTCCAGGACTTGGTAGTGAAGGTGTTAATTACAGGTGTGTCCCCTTTATGCACAACTTTCAAATCCACCCATGAATTTGCTGCTACTATAAATGCTCAACATCCATCAGTGGTTCCCAACCTAGTCCTCAAGTACCCCCTAATAGTCCATGATTTAAGGATTTCTCAGTTGTGTCGAAGGTGTTTTTGAGAAAAACAAAACAAAAACACTTTAGACACAACAGGGTAATCCCAAAATCCTGGATAAGGGGTACTTGTGGACTGGGTTGGGAACCCCTGATCTAAGTGATCATTCAATGTAATTTTAATAGAATTTCCAAGAAAGCAGAGACATATCACATTGGAATCCATTACAATACCCTATGTCAGTCTGTTCCATAACTTCTCACTGTACT